GCCCCCGTCTCACCCGCTCCCCGCCTCGCCCGGAGGGTCCGGGCTCCCGTCAGGGCGCAGTTCCCGCGCTCCCTGCTCGGTGTGGGACTCCGAGGAGCTGCGGGTTGCCCCCGCCGGCCTCCCGTTACTGCCGTCCTGCCTCTCCTGCCCGCTGCCGCCCAGCCGCCCCCGAGCCTGCCCCTCCAGCCGGAAAAAAAAACAAACAAACACGTTTTTTCCTCTCGCAGCCATGCCACACGCATAGCGTTTCTTTGCTCCAGCGCCTTTGGCTGACTGGATGCTGTCCCTAGGAATCCCAGCGTCGCCTGTTCCTGCCCTGCCCTGCTCCACCCCCTCCCCAAATCCCAGCCGCTCCAGCAGGTGCCTCTGCCGTCCTGCAGCCTTCCTCTGCCACCGACGGCATCTGCTTGCGTGGCCCCAGTTGAGGAATACAACCTCTGCGGATACACCTCGCGTTTTGTTTTTGGGTTTTTTTGCTCTTCTTGGTGTCATTGCTAAATTTCTCTTCTCTCACTGAGTGCCATCTTCAATTTTTTGCTGCTATTTCTTTTTTTCCCCCATCCCAACTCATCTCTAGCCCACCTATAACCTCTCCTTTCTGGCTTCTGTCCTCCAAACTATTTTTTTATTCAGATTTTTGACACTAGGCAAGTCTTCCTACCCCATTCAGACCGTGGTTCCCATTTCATCAGCATTATCCTGGCCCTTGACTACTCTCTCTGATGTTATCTTCCTGCTTCAAAGAAACAGACTTCTAAAGTCTTTCTAGATGCTTGTTCTCTCAGTTCTTGTTGCACCTTCCCTGGTCTAATAATCTTACCGTCCTTTTAGCGTTTGTATTCTTTCTTTGAAAGTCTTCTGTAGTAATTTGATGTCAGTCCACCCCACCACAGTGGATCTGAATTGTCTGTTGTTGTCTCCTTTCGGGCTCTCCCTATCCCACACTAGACAAACTCCTCTGTGAATGCTCTGCATGTGGTGATGACCCACAGATCTACTTCTCTTTTGTGGCCTTCCTGGTAAGGACTACTGTCTAGCAGTCAGATCGGGTTTATTATGGGACATTGAGCTTTTTCCAATCTTTCCCTCCTTTCTGGAGTGACTACTGTTCTTTAAACAGCAGGTGATGGTCTAGGTGCTATATCTGAGCCAACTTATTTGAACTGTGTCAAAGTCTTGTCTCCGGCTTTTGCACAACAGCAGCGCTAGCCTGTCTTCTCAAGTCTGTTTCAGGACTTTTTCAACTGGTGTCTTGAGTGCTGGCACAGCTTCCTTCTGGACATGGCAAAGGCTTCTTGAGGGGATGAGGATAACCTACACCAAGGCTGCCAAAGCCATCTTTTCACTTTGTTTCTCTGACTGAATTACTACCTTTTTGTGTTTGGTGCACACTTACAGTTGTGGAGTCTGATTTGCTCCATCTGACAACAGGCTTCTACCAGAGACACCAAATCCAGCCAGTTACTTTCTCCTCCACAGCCAGGGGAGGGAGGGAATCACCTGTGGAGATAGATAAGACCAACTAAGATGAGAATTACTACATACAGGTAGCTGTCTTTCTCCCTTTCTCAACTGCTTGCTACAGCAGTATCCCTTTCTCAACTGCTTGCTACAGCAGTAATTTGGGGTGATTGAACTTTGAGCTCAAAGACTTCAGTTAGGTGACTGCTATGGTCTCCCAACTATTTTTATTTCTTTTTTTCAGCTGTTTTTCCCCCCCCCCCCCTTATTCAGACTTGAGAGGCCTATGGTATAAGGACAGTTATGATATTCAACAATCATCAAAGCTAGGATATTTTTAAAATAGAAATTGAAAGTATTACGTAAACAGCTAGCTCACATCGTAGTCCTTCCAAACAAAAGCTCTGTCAGGTCAGGGAATGTAATTAGGTTTTTGGCTTTTTCCTGCAAGGCCTGAGATCTGAATAAGTGGGACACATTTCTTTGCTGGGTCCAGCAGACATGTGCCTAAGGAGTTAATGATTGCTGTGGCTGATTTAGAGGTAGTGTATAATCAGCTGTTTCTGCCCTGAGCTAGTGGTTTGCCCTGGTAGCTGACTTTGCTGTTGCAAGGCTGACTGAAATATAGTTCATTTGTAAAAGGCTTCTTAAACTGATGTTCAAACAAAACTTTTTGTTGCAGGCTCTGTACCTGAACAGAGCCTGATACTGCAGAACTTGCTGCTGTTTTCTATTTTGCTGCTAGCTTGTTCCCCTCCGGAAGGGAAAACACATGCCCAGAATCAATTGCGAGACCATGTCACAGCGAAGTTGAAAGTCCACTATAGCCAATGCTGGAAAAGTAAACATTAAGGTAGGGAAGACCTGAGGAGGCAGCTAACATGCTCAGAAAAGCTCAGTTTTCTTTCAAAAATAAATTATGACTCCAGGCTTACAAAGGACAGATAAGTCTCCTGACCTGTCCCTTGAACTGGATTCAGCGTGGGATGTGTTTTGCCTGCACCCAGTTGTAAGCTTGAGGACTAGCATATGTAATGCTATGGAGCCTACAGACACATCTTCTTCCAAAGTGCAAAAGAAAATTAATGTTGAAGCTGTTAGTCTTTGATCGCAGAACTACAATTCCACTGTTATCTATGTATTCTTGAGTGAAATTGAAAATAAGTAACAGTGAGAATAGCCTGTTTTAATCGTTAAACTATCATCCTTGTTGACAGATCAGTCACTCCGACAGCGTGGTGTATTGTAATTTCTTACCTGAAGAAATCGGCACCAATTAGGAAATGGCCAAAGTCGAAAGGTTTGCTTTTCACGTTCCAAGTCTGGAAGAGCTTGCAGGGGGTAAGTCATGCAGCGTGTAACTTTGCAAACTTACAATGTACTTTTCAAACTTATCTTAAAGCTCTTATCAAAACCTTCCTACAGCTAGTACGTGCAGAATGTTCCTGCTCTTAGCACGCTGAGGTGTAAAGAAAAGTACTGTTTTTCTATATGCTATTATTTCTTTAAAACGAACAATAACTCCTCCCCCAAACCCCAAGTGATATTTAAGCACACAAACAGGCTCTACCCTTTAAAACTGTCTACTGCATTTGCAGATTTGTGCAGGGGTTGTGAAAGTTTGACAGTTACAGACCAAATTTATTTACGCATAGGGGATCATCTGTCCCCCTCCACCCTCCAGTACTTCTTTCTTTTTCAAGACTACTCAAACACACAGCTGACAAGATGCAGTACGGCATGGCAGGTCCTCTTGCTTTAACCTAGTTAGCTCCTCTTTTGGCGATTGCCTTAGAACCAGATTCCAGGAAACATTTTATTTATTTTATTTATTTCAAAGCCCTTACAAAATGTGCTCAGACTAACAGAATAGTTGAGATTGGAAGGGACCTCCGGAGGTGATACGCTCCAACACCCCTGCTCATGAGCTTCTTTCCTTGCCCTAGTAGCAAGGCATTATTCCTTCTAGCAGCCTGTCTCCTGCAGCAGATGTACTGAAGCTTTTTTTTTTAATTTCAGAGAGGTCTTCAGGTTCAGTCTGCCACTCTCCCAAATCTCTGTCAGTTTGACATTTCCATGCTTTGAGAAAGTGTGGTCCCAGAAGTACCGTGGCTGGTTCTTGGTGCTTTTCTCACCCCATATCTGTCAGGCTGGGGCAGTAGGCCGGGGCTCCTATAGACCTGGGGGCTCAGCAGACAACAGCGTGTACTTCCTGTAGAACAGCTTAAAACAGTAGCAGAAAAGATGGATTGTGAAGCAGAATTTTCCTCCCCCCGCCCTCCCATCTGTCCTGAGGACCTCCTTTAAGCTCTGAATTTTGTTGTTGTTCTGCTCTTGAGTATAATTTGAGAAGTGTCCTTTTATTGTCCTTTTCCACTTGCCAGAAGGTACTGAGATGTATTTAGAAACCTGCCAAGTACCTTCTACTGACCCTTGTGGTCAACAGCTTGGTAAATCTGCTCCCGAGAAGTAAGGTACGGCTGAAATCCTAATTGGAGGAAACAAAGGCACAGGGAAGTCTTCTGAGTAAATAAGGAACTGCCAGATTTGAGATCACAGAATGGATTTTCTCTTCCTGAGTTTAAGACATCTGTTAAAGCAGACCCCCAGGCATGAAAGAACTTGGACCTTATTTGAAGCAGTGTACGTGAAGGCAATCCTACACTCAGTTAAGGTCTGGAAGTTGTTTCCAAACAGTGCCCTTGTCTAAGTCGGAATCCTCCCTGCTGTTTGAGTGACGTTGCAGGTTCTGAGCCTAAAAGCAGTGATGTGAAGCAAACCCAAAAGTTTAGATTTGGGGCTGTTTATTATCATCAGCACCATTCATTCTCTGTCTTGTACTGACAGTGGCACTTGCCAGTAAATCTCCACATGAACGTAAACATAACAGACAATATCCTGTGACAGCAGAAGTTTCCAGGCAGCAGAGGCAGTTTGAGATATATAGTTAGTATATTTAAAGAACTGATTGTCACTTCAGCTAAAACTTACTTCCTCCTTTGCTCTCGCATGATATTTGACCGTGATCGTAATTGTCTGCTGTCGTGAAGCAAAACCACTGCTGAATATGGCTTAAGTTTACCCATGCTACTTCACATTGTGCTGCTCCTAGTGCTCCCAGGAGCAGTCAGATATTGTATTTCAATTAAAAGGTTTTTAAAATTCTTAAAATTAATTAATGTGGTAGCTAACAATTATCTGAACGAGCTTTTGCTCTTCTCTGAAGCTCTGACTCAGGAAACAAGTGCCTACAGACAGTAACTTTTAAATCAGTGGAGTTACTTAGGGTAAGCATAAGTCCTTTAATGTATCTTGCTGAAATAAAGCCTAAATAGATATATCTATTGTTGTTAGTAACTTGTCGAGTTCTTGCTAATTTTTTGTTGTCAATAACTTCGCCATTATTCTTTATTATAGTTTTGCAGAAAGGGCTCAAAGAAAACTTTGCTGATGCTGAAGTTTCTGTTGTAGACTGTCCTGATCTGACTCAGGAACCCTTCAACTTTCCAGCTAAAGGTAACCTAGCATTCCTGTCTTCCACTAGGAATGCTCCAGGTCTTTCTGCCTGGTCCTACTTTGTTTTGATCTTCTAAAGATGGTGGGAGAGCTTAAATTGGTTTTCAGGTAAAGAATATGCATGAGAAGAAAGCTACATTTCGTTTCTGGATTTGCTTCCTAGTTGATGTATGAACAAGGACAAGTCATTACCAAGTACTTGTCATAATTTTTTTTCTTAACCTATGATTGCATTTCTCACTTATTTTAGAAGCTTTATTTCATGTACTGAAATGGTTTTGAAATGAAGTTGTTATCTTTCAGATAGAGGAATGTTTTAGACCTGTGCCCATCACTATCTGAACCTAGGGAGTTGTGCTTCTATTCATTTTTAAATTCCAGCCATTTGTATATGCTGGTGAAGTGAAACTTGACTTATTCTGAGTGGGATTCATCATCTTCGACATTAGCTGTCTGGAAGACAGACATGTCATCTGTGCTACTCATTTGAGTTCACTTTGTCATCAACAGAGTGAAAGAAACACCTCCAGAAGGTAATTCATCCCTGCTTAAAATACATGTCCAAATAAGTGGGATGAATTTTCCTGAGACTTGGGCATCCAGCTTTCCTGACATTTTGCAAGTGGAGTCCCAGTGGGGGTATCCACTGTGTGGTGAGAGCAAGAGAACTGGTAAATGGCAGTTGTTGCCCACCATAATATTTTTATTTTTTTGTGTGTGTACTTAGAGAATGTTAATTTTACAACAGGTTACCTAGCAGTAAATCCTACTGTGAATCGTTTCAGGGCTTACTGTCCTTGGACTTCTTAATAGTGCAACATTTTATCTAAGCATGGTAGGGAAATATTGTTCTCAAAGGGTTTTAGAAATTTGAGGAACCAGCTCTTTGGGGGATTAGACTTCATGCTCATTTAAGATTATTAGGAAAAAACATTTTACCGTGCTAACTGGCTGTATTCTTCCAGGAATCTGCGGAAAGCCTAGAATAGCAGATGTGGGAGGCGTTCCTTACCTCATACCTGTTGTACAGAAAGAAAAAGTGAGTTTTTCCTGTAGCTGTGGGGTTTAGTATATTTGTAAAAAGAAAAGGCGTATCTTGTTGAATTATACACAAAACTAAGGACTAACGGATACTGTAAGATTCCACTTGTGAAAAAGACTTACTTTTCAGTGTTTTGTGAGATTGATTCTGACGTGTTTACCATAGACAATGTCAGGTAATCTGACACATCATCGCAAAAATAGCATATCGTCATTGATGGTTCGTCTTTTCCTGCTGTCAAACACAAGATAGTTTTGGAGACATACCATCTGTGACAGGACCCATGGAAGGAATTGAAGGAACTACTGAACAAGGGGCTTGTCTGCATGTTTATATACGGCTTGCTGCGTGCCTGTGATTTCAAGTCACACCTATGCTTCTTTGTAAAAACTGGCTGTATTTGCATTTTTGGGCCAACACTGGATTCACATTACTGTTTTTTCCAAGAATATCATGCCTTCTTTCTGACACCTCACCCCATCTGTCTCTGTATGATATTCCCTTCCATTTTTTATTTTACACAAATATAATTTCAATAAGAACAATAGTTCAGTTTGGGGTAAAATGGCACGGGAACATACAGGCAGACTACTCTTCAGGAAACAGGTGGACATGTACCCAATTTGTTACTACCAAATGTTGTGTTGTTCAGAAACCAACCCAATTATCCAAAATACTAATGAGGGCGTTGTGAATTAAATGCATCCAGAGGTTACAGGGAACAAAATGACAATTCCAAATCAGCGCACCACACCATAATCAAAAGATTGTTTCTCTTTTGCAGGTTTACGACCTAAATACAGTTGCAAAAGACATAGAGCTTCCTGGAGCTTTCATCCTCGGAGCTGGAGCTGCTTCATCTAAGATTCTTGGAGTAAATGCTGAGGTCAGTAAATAAGTGTGATGGTTCCCAATGAATTCATGGAAGTATCATAATAGTAGAGCAGTATCGTGCTGGGTATTTCCCATTTACAACGAAACATTTAATAAACACCATTCATGCCAAAAGCGCATAAAACACATTAGAAGGAATTCAGATGAGGGCCATCTAATGAGGTGCATACTATTGAAATAATAAAGATTAATTTTTAACTGGAAATTCTCCAGGAAGCATGTGATTGCTTTGAAGCCTGCAAGAAACATGATTTTTTGAAACTGATTGGAATAGACCTGACCAGAGGTTTTAATGTTTTAATGACAAGATTTAGAAATGCTTGTTAAAGTTAATGGTAAATGCCTTTGAAATGCTCCCTGTCTTTTGCCCTTTTGGATGGCTTTTTTTTTTTTCCATTGTAAATTTTAAAGATGCCACATACAAAATGATCACCTGCAAGAGAGGTGGGAGACAAAACCTACTGACTGTGGAGGCTTTGGTTATAGTGTTTTCAAGCATAAACCTCTGGTCTTGCCATCTCCTTTTGATGCATTTATTGGCAGATGAGATAGACCATCTCAGCATTAAATTTGGACCACTATAATGGTGGTTGTTATTGTACACTGAGAAAGTATTACATAGAATTCCAATATTTGCATCATGCAGGCCTCAGATCTCAATGATTAGACTTTTTTCCTTCTTTTATTTCTTCTTTTTTTGTTTTTTAACACTAGCATTCATATTCACACAATGTTAAATTTAACTCTCCAGAGAAAGTAATGCTGTTTTCTGGAGTTTTCAATTACATTCCAATATTAGTGCCTTTTTCTTACGAGTACAGACCTCATCCTGAGTGAGCTGTATGACGAAGGGGATTATTTCTTGGGATCATGGTCCAAAGCTTAAATCGCATTTATGTGAGTTCTGTTCATTTAACTGACTCTTACATGTTCTTATCAACTTATTTGACTTATTCTTGCATGATCTTTTTCTCAGCTTATCCCTATTGTTCAAACTAAGAGTGAAAAAAAGCCTGCTGTAAACGGGAGCTACGTTGCTCAGATAAATCCTGCAGATAAAGGGTGCCTCCTTGAGAAGTACAGCAGTAAATATACTGACTGCGAGTTTGGGCTGTTGGCCAACCTTTACGCCAGTGAGGGCCAACCTGGTAAGGTACGTACTTGGATCAAAAGTGACTTTGCCTGTAGAGCTTTGTGGCTGAAGGGAAACTCATGCTTCAATATACTCCTTTCAGTTTTCTGTGATAATAGTAAAGTAGTAATTCCATGAAAGAATATCCAAACATAAGGATCTGATGCTAGTGAATGAGGGGAAGAATTGGAGGAGACAGAGAGGCATTTGAATTTTTGAAGGATAAGTATTAGTTTACTAAAAATTTTCCATCGTAAATCATCCATCCAAATCCAGTCCAAACGAGCAGTGATTTAATGTAATGGTTATACAATGACTGACTTGTGTAAATCAGGTCTGGGCGCTTGTCTAGTTTTTTGTAGAAGTGCTTCCTCCAACACAGCTAGCACAAAATGGTGTTGGCAGAGCAGTGAAAAACCTAACTCCTGCATGGAAACTGAGCATTCTTCTCTGTTTCCAAGAATTTCTTTAGTACAGAATGGAAGCCAGCTGGTGGACAGAAAGGGGTTGCTCATACCATTGCCTCATGTGCGAGTGAATGACTTGCTGCCCAGCACCCTTCACGGCAAAGCTAGTGTTGAACAGAATGTCATGAAAGAGAGCTAGTCAGGTATTGGAAGGATGCAAGTGGAGCAGCACTTGCAGGGAAACTCACTTTTTCAAAAAGTAATCTTGGGTCGTGAACTTGGGAGAATTTCAGAGCAGCTTTCACAGACCTTTGCAGATTGTTGCAGTGGGAGACAGCAGTGACAAATTAACTTTATTCTCCAGGTCATTGAAGTGAAAGCCAATGGAAGAACTGGGGAACTTAACTTTGTGTCTTGTCTGAGACAAATTTTAGAGAAACACTATGGAGAAAAGCCAGTTGGGATGGGTGGTACCTTTGTCATTCAGAAAGGGAAAGCAAAGATTCACATTATGGTAAGTTGTTCTCAATTCATATAACTTTCTTCATTCTTCTGAAAACAGAAATATAAATCAGGGTGTAACATCTTAGTGCCTTGACTTTGTTTTGTGTTTTTAAATGTATGCATAAACTGTTAGGATAAACAGCGTGTTTGAGTAAGGAGCTGATGTTACAAAACTGACATTACAAAACTAATGGTGCTGTATTACTTGGCCTTAATACCATAATCTTTTCTTTTGAAATCTGTGAGCAGCTAAAGAACTTTAGACCTATTGTAAAATGAATTGAAATGAAATACATGAACTGAGATGATACGTATAAGAAGCAATAGACTTTTTAAAAAATAACTGAGCTTCTAAAATATATCAGGAGGAGAATCCTCACTTCAGTAGTTCTCCTGCTACCTGTGCAATGAAAGAATCAATATTCTGGTCACTTCTTTTTCTGGCAGAAACACAGTAATGGGCACTGGTGAGCTGCTTTTAGGCAAGTAGGAATGGGAACAGAATAGCGGGGAGGGGAAAAGCAAAGGAAAGTTGCTAGAGAAAAAAATGTCTTGATACAAGTGTCTTCCTTTCATTTAAAAAGCTTTTACTTTTGCTGTAGCCTCCAGAATTTTCTGCCTGTCCTCTGAACACCGATGAAGATGTGAATAACTGGCTGAAATTCTTTGAAATGAAGGCTCCACTGATTTGTCAGACAGTAATAGTTTCCAGAGATCCAGTGAGTCTCTCTCATTTCTATGTATAAATTGAGTCTTGTTACGAATTTTGTCTTGGATGTGATTTTTCTTTTAAGAACAGGAGTGTATATATATTGTGTTAAACTCTTCCAGAGATGGTGAAATGAAAGAGAAGCTTCTTGGATCTGTCACTAGTTTCAGTTGAGGCTAGGTCAATCTGTTCTGAAACCTAGTGGCTGTTCATAGTGGATTGAACTTAATGGTTCAATTCAAATTGCAAGTGTGCAAGCATTTGGGATGGAAATGGTTCAGTTCAAACTGCAAGTGTGCAAGCACAACAGGATAGTTGCATTCACTGGTGGCTGCACCAGGAGAAATGTCAAGAGCATGGAAGCTTGTTAGGCTATGTGTTCATGTAGATCAATTTCATAAGAATGGTCTCTGCTAATCCTGTGTCGAAATATGTGAGGCATGTGTCTCATTGCTGATGCAAATTAAGGTCTGCAAAGCCTCATGCTAGAAAGTTATCTAGCATCTTTCACAAGCGCTAAATTCAACAGCAAACAATTCAGGATAAAAACCAATCTGGTTTCAAAAGCCATTAAGATATTAATCATTAAGAAGACTATTTATTTAAAAGTAACCAGGAAATCATAGGTAAAAATTACTGTTTCATAAATAATGATGCAGTCATAAGTAATATAAAAAATATTTTTTCAGAGTAAAATGAGACATGCTGTAGGCTTAGATATGTTCAAGGGTGCGACTTCATTCTGTCATGTGCCAGCCTTTGGCCTAAGGCTAAATTGTGTGCGTCTTCCCAGAATCAACTGACGAGTACTTGGAAAACGACCACCAACAGCTGCTCCATTCAAAACCAATGCGATTGGGGGCAACCGTTGCGATCAGGGCAACGAAGCTGATTAGGGGACTGGAGCACCTTTCTTATGAGGAAAGGCTGAGGGACTTGGGTCTCTTTACTCTAGAGAAAAGAAGATTGAGGGGGGATCTTATTAATACATACAAATACTTAATGGGAGGATGCCAGGGGGATGGGAGCAGTCTTTTTTCAGTGGCGCCCAGTGATAGGACGAGGGGTAATGGGCATAAACTTGAACATAGGAAGTTCCATCTTAACATGAGAAGGAACTTCTTTACTTTGAGGGTAGTGGAGCACTGGCACAGGCTGCCCAGAGAGGTGGTGGAGTCTCCCACTCTGGAGACATTCAAACCCCGCCTGGACGCTGTCCTGTGCAACGTGCTGTAGGTGACCCTGCTCTGGCAGGAGGGGTGGACTAGATGGTCTCCAAAGGTCCCTTCCAACCCTAACCATTCTGTGAATTCTGTAAATTCTGTGAATTCTGTGATTTGTGAGGTGGATTCAGCTGGGTTATTCCCATCTGTATCCACTGCAAGCTCAACGGTACTCGGCTAAGCCTATGGTTTTGGAAATGTTTGATTGTCACTACAGAGAAAGCAGTAGAAGATGGCATTCAAATGCTATAGCATTACTCATCAGTATCCTCTTGCAGCGCAGAAAACCAGTCGTATCCTGGGCTGCATCAAGAGCATGGCCAGCAGGTCAAGGGAGGTGATTCTTCTTCTCATGAGACCCCACCTGGAGTGCTGCATGCAGCTCTGGGGCCCCAAAAAAGACATGGACCTGTTTGAGCGGGTCCAGAGGAGGGCCATGAAAATGGGGTGGAACACCTCTGACCATATGAGGAGAGGCTGAGAGAGTTGGGGTTGTTCAGCCTGGAGAAGAGAAGGCTCCAGGGAGACCTTATAGCGGCTTCTCAGTACTTAAAGAAAGATGGGGACAGACTTTTCACCAACAGGTATGACAGGACAAGGGCAATGGTTTTAAACTGAAAGAGGATAGATGTAGATTGGACACAAGCAAGACATTTTTAACGGTGAGGGTGGTGAGGCACTGGATGAGGTTATCTAGAAAAATTGTGGATGCCCCATCCCTGTAAGTGTTCAAGGCCAGGTTGGATGGGGCTTTGAGCAACCTGATCTAGTGGAAGATGTCCCTGCCCATGTCAGGGGTTGGACTAGATCATCTTTAACCCAAACCATTCAACCTTCATTCAGCCTTTCAACCCAAAGTGCTGCTCCACATTCAGCCTTTCAACCCAAGTGCTGCTCCGCTTGCAACCTTCATTCAGCCTTTCAACCCAAACCATTCCATCATTCTATGGTATATAAAACATTGTGGGGGTGATCTCAGTGTTTAGTATGCCAGTTGTTATTTTATTTGCTCTTCTTCCCATTTTCATCTAATCTCAGAATTGGAGTAGAGATCATCCCTTTATCACACGGGTCTGTGGCATTCAGTGCAAAGGGGTTCTGATGTCCAGCAGGGGTTCCTTGATGTGACTTCTTTATTTAATCCCAATGGAAAGAAAGGAGAAAAAGTGAGTCCAGAGGAGGGCCATGAAGATGGTCAGAGGGCTGGAGCACCTCCCTCTGAAGACAGGCTGAGAGAGTTGGGGTTGTTCAGCCTGGAGAAGAGAAGGCTCCGGGGAGACCTTATAGCAGCCTTCCAGTACTTAAAGAGGGCCTACGGGAAGGATGGGGAGGGACTCTTTATCAGGGAGTGTAGTGATAGGAAGAAGGTAACGGTTTTCAACTGAAAGGGGGGAGATTTAGATGAGATATTAGGAAGAAATTCTTTACTCTGAGGGCGGTGAGACACTGGAACAGGTTGCCCAGAGAAGTTGTGGCTGCCCCGTGCCTGGAGGTGTTCAAGGTCAGGTTGGATGGGGCTTTGAGCAACCTGGTCTAGTGGGAGGTGTCCCTGCCCATGGCAGGGGGTTTGAACTAGATGACCTTTAAGGTCCCTCCCAACTCTAACCATTTTATGATTCTATGAAAAAAAAAAATAAAAATCTGTGAGATTGACACCAAAAGTTGGGGGCTGTCAGGGTTTCTAAATTCTTTTCTCTCTGTTGTACAGCTCCTCTTTTGTCTTATTAGTTTCACAAGCATCTTACAAATTTTCACTGCTTAATGGTTGGCCTATGGTTGGTAGCTTTTAAATATTGCTCACATGAACGTGTGTTCAATGGCCTTTCTCTGGTGACAGGGCTTTGATCTGCGCGTAGAGCACACCCACTGTTTCAGCCACCATGGGGAAGGAGGACACTACCACCAGGACACCAGCCCAGACAGTGTGCGGTACCTGGGGTACCTCCTGCCCGCCGAGCTGCTCTTCCGCATCGACCGGCCCCAGGAGACGCACCTCGTCGGGAGAGACTGAAACGGGGAGGAGGCTCTGGTGCAGGTGTAGCAATTCAATCTTTCTAAAATACAAATGCTGATTTTTATAATGCTTTTAATTACGCACATTTATCAGAGTCAAGAATAAACATTGTAGCAGTAAACTGCTGACTTCTTAATTGTGTTAAAGGGAGAAATTCAGAGTGTATGTGTAATTGAAATTGTTATGCCTGAATTCAAATGGTATCACAGAATGGTCTCATTGGAAGGGACCTCAGGAGATCATCTAGTCCACCCCCCCTGCCAAAGCAGGGCCACTTACAGCAGGTTGCACAGGAGACCGCATCCAGGTGGGTTTTGAGTATCTCCAGAGAAGGAGACTCCACCACCTTGCTGGGCAGCCTGTGCCAGTGCTCTGCCACCCTCAGAATAAAGAAGTTTTTCCTCATGTTGAGATGGAATTTCCCATGTTCCAGTTTCTGCCCATTGCCCATTGGCCTGTCGCTGGGCACCACTGAAAAGTCTGGCCCCATCCTCTTGACACCCGCCCTTTGGATATTGATAAGCATTGATGAGATACCTTCTCGGTCTTCCTTCTTCAGGCTAAACAGACCCAGGTCTCTCAGCCTCTCCTCATCAGAGGTGCTCCGTTCCCTTGATCATCTTTGTAGCCCTCCATTGGGCTCTCTCCAGTAGTTCCCTGTCCTTCTTGAACTGGAGAGCCCTGAACTGGATTTCAATTTCATTGGAATATTATTGTGGGTTGGGTTTGTTTTTTTTTTTGTTATTTGGTTGAGCTTCCTGTGTGGTTGTAGCTGGTGATGGGGAACCAGAAGTGAATTTATGTTTAGAACAGGGAATTAAACAACCACCTGGTCAAAAATAACGCTGTAAAAGAAGAAAATCACTGCACCTCTGAGGAGTAAACCCGTCTGGGGGTTGTCTGGGCCGTGAGAGGGAGGAGGAAAGCGGCCGCGTACGATCATCGGCCGTAGAAACGGGCCAGCAGCAACGCAGGTTAGCCCCGCGGCTGCCACCGCCCCCTCCCGAGCGCCCTCCGGAAGCAGCCGAGCCCGCTCGGTTCTGGCCACGCCCCCTCCCGAGCGCCTTCCGCCGACAGCCGAGCCCGCCGGGCTCTGGCCCCGCCCCCGCCCGGCACCCGTAGGGGGCGCGGGGGTCGCGCGCAGGCCCGGCAGCAGCGGTCGGAGGTCGCTCCAAGATGGCGGGGGTGCCGGCGGTGCGCATCAGCATCGAGTCGGCGTGCGAGAAGCAGGTGCAGGAGGTGGGGCTGGATGGCAGCGAGCCCTCCCTCCAGCCGCTCTCCATGTCCCAGAACCTGGCGCGCCTGGCGCAGCGCATCGACTTCAGCCAGGGCTCGGGCTCTGAGGAGGACGAGCCAGGTTCGGCGGGGCGCTCCTGGGCCGAGCCGGGCGAGGCGGAGGATGAGGAAGGTGAGGGGCAGCGGGCCCGCGGCTGGGCCCAGAGCCTGAGCTCTCTCGCCGGGCTGCAGCTGAGGCAGGCCTGCCCAGCTGTGGGCTCTCCGGCCTGCAGCCCCGCAGGCGCTTGGGCCTGGTTTGCCTTCCCCCGTGGATACCCACGGTTGGCCGTGGATCCGGCCAGGATATTTGTGACGGTAATCCAGACAAATTACAGTGGCAGAGTGGAAAAGGGTGGATCCAGATATCGTGCTGTTATGTTGTATTTCACACCGTTATGATCATTCTGTGGATTAAGAATGAGCCTTACGCCATATCTTTTTACAATTCTTTGTTTTCCTTTATTTTGTTTTTTTTTTAGGCTTGGTAAAGTTTCAGCCATCCCTCTGGCCTTGGGATTCAGTGAGGAACAACTTAAGAAGCGCGTTGACTGAGATGTGTGTGTTGTATGATGTTCTTAGTATTGTCAAGGATAAAAAGTTCATGACTCTGGATCCAGTCGTGCAGGATCCCCTTCCTCCAAAACAGGTACATTGTACCTAGTTGTGTAGTTCTTATGACTTGATACTGAAGATTTCACTGGTGTTTTCAGTGTATGATATATACAAGGTTTAGGAAAATGTTCCTTGCGATGTGCTGCTACAGTGCTTTATGGGTCAGGGGAAGGCTGAGAATGGGAGATGAGGCTGGTTTCAAAGGCCTTTTTGCTGAAGCTGTAAGTCAGAATGCTACTTATGGCTATAGAATATCGTCATGAAAGTTATTCTAACTAAGTTACTGAACATCCAGCAAAACTAAGTTGTCAGTCACTGTAAATTAGTTCCACTAATAACCTTTGGGGAATTAAGACATAAGAAGTTTTTCTTTTTGCTACTAGAATCCTCAGTTTCTGCAGTTGATTTCAAAAAAGAAGTCATTAGCTGGAGCAGCTCAAATTCTGTTGAAAGGTGCAGAAAGATTATCTAAATCGGTTGCAGAAAACCAGGAAAATAAGCGACAAAGAGACTTCAACTCTGAACTGCTAAGGCTGAGACAACACTGGAAGCTGAGGAAAGTGGGAGACAAAATTCTTGGTGATCTAAGCTACAGAAGTGCAGGTATACAGTACGATCTTTTCGTTTTCTCAAGAATGGATATTAATATTTTACAGTTTTTTGTAACTGTAAAAACATGGAGTATTTTTAATACCAAATAATATTGGCTTATAAAATATTATTATAGTTCTGAGACAGAGTTATAAAAGGAGGAAACTTGGTTTATTGTCAGGGAAAATATCCTGCCATCGTTAACTTAGAAAGTGATTTTAAAAGCTGGTTGTGTAGGATTGTAGTAAAGATTCCTTTATGGAAGCAATTCTTTACAGACAAGGTAGTTGATAGGTTGACAGGTAGACCTTGTGAATCTTTGGCTTTTATCTATATTTAGTCTGTAAAGCATTTTTAAAAAATTGAGGAGGATATTGCACTTTTCTCTGCGTGAAGACAGATGTATTATACCTATTATTCCTATATTTATGAGAAATGATACTGAGAACATGCATTATTTCATGGATTACAGTAAGAGGGTAACCAGCCCAGAGTTCTAGAGACAATTATGGAGTGAAGGACTGAATATAGAATCTCACCAAACTTAAGATGTAGATACAAAGCAGGCATCTAAACTGGTTATGGCTCCAGTTGTCATCATTGCCAAATTTAGGGTTACTAACCTTGTTTTCATGAAGACGCTGTAGATGTAACCCATCTGTCTCTTTTTAGATGATTTCTACTAAACTAGGTGAACTGTGCTCTGGATGTTAAAGAGATGCAAAAGATTTGGGCATCTGCCTTTATCGGTCCCACCTGAATGACTGGCTGTATGGCTGGTTTTACAGACAGAACACTGTCACAGTTTTAAGACTGAAAGACAAACATCACCAGTGCTCCTTTAAATCAGTAGGGGTGTTGCACCTTAAACTATTTTCTTGCAAAAATTTGGACAATTAATTTTTTTTGTCTTGTTTTAACCAAACACCTTTTTTTCTTCTTCCCTGCTTCTGCTAACACCATTTTGAAACACTGGGTTTTCTCCCATAACTATTAAATGCTACTTGCTGACGTACTGTAAAATGTTGCACATCACAGACTGGAGGACTGAGATATGCTGAAATGAGCTTTCTAATTTACCTGTTTTTTTTAAGAATTCATTAAGACATTTGAATCAAGTGCAACTATGGAGGTTTGGAGATTTAGAAATACATATTCTTCCAAAATGGAGGCATGAGCTTCATTATTTGCAGAAGATGCTTCATAATATGTATGTCTTTCTCCTTCCTTTCTTAGGCTCCCTTTTCCTTCATCATGGCACATTTGAGGTGATAAAGAACACTGACATTGACCTGGATAAAAAGATACCTGAGGATTACTGTCCTTTGGATGTTCAAATTCCAAGTGATTTAGAAGGATCAGCCTATATAAAGGTTTGCCAGAGAAACTTTAATAATATAGCTTAGGCTTTGTTCCGTTATTTGTACGGTTGCAACAAAGCACAAATGTCAAATGATGTTCTCTTTTGCCTAGGTTTCTATTCAGAAACAAGCTCCAGACATCGGGGATCTTGGGACAGTCAATCTTTTTAAAAGACCTATGCCAAAATCAAAGCCAGGTATAGCTAACTATATGTTGTTTTCTGAGCACCTTCTCCAAAAACGTGTTTGCATCTGATGTTCATTTGAAAATTCTAGCTTGAAAGAAGAGCGAACAAGAATATTCTTACTTAAACTGAAATTTTCTGTGCAGGTGATGCTTGGGCATTGGAAAGATGATGCTTTCAAAGTGTACCCCTTCAGTTTTTCATATGTGTTTACTCAATTTCTGAAATAAAATTACTAGGATTGTATTTTAGGTATTCTGAAGCACTTTTTGTTAGACATTAAGAGTTTGAGCGCATAACCAAAAGCAAACAAAGGTATTGTGGCTCAACTGGACTAAATGTCCATTCACTCTTAACTTTGCCCAAAATGTATCGTTTGTTTCTGTGGCTGGTACGTTTTCTCTGAATCTGAAAGTGTGCTGACAGCATGTGCGCTAATTACCAACAGCTCACGTGGCAGACAGTATCTTGATTCATTTGCTATGTGACAGTATCTGAAGGTGTAAACCTTTGGGATTAAAAATTCATCCTTAACTCCTTAGGATTAAAAAGAACTGTAAGGATTTTATTTCACAGTGATCGGTGACACAGATGCTGGTGCTGTCTTGAGCATAGACAAGATGTTGTATCAAGTAGATGTTTCGTATGGTATTCAGGGTACAGTATAGAGCTTGTGTACTTGCTCAGACCAGAATCTTCCAAAAATTTTGGACCTATAAATACTGTGAAAGCACATACATGAATTTAATGTTATTTTGTTGTTTGTTTAGAGTGACTTTAATGAAGCGAGACATATCGTTGACAGTAAATTGCAACTTAAGAAGCAGGGGATCATAGGCAGAGTTCACAAAGGGAATGTAACAGGCAGTTCCAGGAGGGAGTTGCAGTTCACAATATACATATATGTAAAATTGAAGTGAAGTGCTCTAGTGTTATCTTAAAGTGCTTGCTTAACTCTGAAATACTCAATTTG